ATATGAAATATTTGGGTGTAAATATAGAAAAAGTTTAAGTGTTAGAGATGTAGATGCATATGAATTTGGTGGAATCATGTAATTGCCCCTAAATTCTTACATGATACATTATTTTCATTTATGTAAATTATGATTTGAACTTCCTTTGAAAGCTAATCACTTACCTTTTAAAAATATTTTGATAGATCTATAAATTATATAAAGTAAATGTGTCATGACCAGACCCAGGGCTTGAAATTAACCAAAAAAGGTACAAACGATCAGACGATAATTAAATTTTTTATAACATTTAATAAATAAATAAAAAAAACTAGTAAGAAATTAAATTAAATCAATACAATTAAATTCATCTTATTACATGGTATTTCTGTCTTCTATAAACATTTTTTTTAATTATTGTTTAGTGTTTTTTAATCAATAAATAACACCTACAAAGCTAGTTCAAAACAACAGTTAATTAATTAAAGTTGGTAAATATTTACACTAATAAATTATAATATTACAAGAAAAAAGAAAATATTATGCATGTCAGTTAAGCTTTTAATAAATTACTATAAAATATTTGATAATTTATGAATATGATCACTTACAATAATTCATGTTATTCAATGGGTTTTATTATATTAACATATCTATATCATTTTATGTTTGTATAACTGTTTGATGAGTACAGGCTAAAAACATCAGTGTTGATTTTGATCCAAGGATAAGAAGGTTTCTCCCAATGGAACAGTAGGAAATGTGATTTGCCAGAAGGAAAACTTTGAGTATTAAGGATTTAGGAGCACCCAGGAACTTTATATTTGTATCCCATGAGATTGATTATCTTAAGAGTATAGGCATAGCAGTTAATAACAATTTGTGTGGCACTTTGAGTTTTTCCCTCATATTTATTGATATTTCCTGGCATCCATATGAACAATGTAGTAATAAAGGGAATTATTTCAACTTGGCTCTCTTTCCAAACCTTCCAGTAGTCAAGGAAGTTTCCAAAATTCAATAAATGGGAGAGGAAATTGAGTTTAGAAGCCACATGTGTCCAAACCCCTTGAGTAACAGGACAAGAGAAAAACAGATGGTTGAAGGATTCCTCATGCTGGCAGCAAAAATTACATCTTGAAGGTCCTTTTAAACCCTTGAGTTTAAGTATATCATCAGTGGGAATATTATTATGAAAACATCTCCAAGTGAACAAAAACATAGAGGGGTTGAGATATTTCACCCACATGGATATATATATATATATATAATCAAACCTAATACTCAGATATGACCAATAAAATAAGAGTATATAAAATCGGATAAATTGGAACATGAATTTATAGATATCAATAATTATTAATGCAATTAATTAAGAAGAAGCAAAATATTACTATAAATCTAAAAGTACGACTACTCACTTAACTATATATTGAAATATATATTTCAGTTTTTAAAAGTGTAAATAAGGATATTTTTAATGTGTTATAAAAGGATTTGGTTCATTTAAAAGAAGATAAAATAAAGTTTAGGTGTTAGGTAGTAAATACATTTACATGTTATGCATGTAAATGCCTTTATAATAAAACAAACAACAAAGAGAATTTTCCAATATCACAACCAAAACAGAAAGTTCACATATTTCACAATACTACCTTAATGCATCTTAACACATTCCCTCACCTTCTACTTATTATGAGTTTTCTTTCAAACAAACCCTCAAACATTGCTAAAGATAACAAAACTCTAAGCTCATCGTTTTAATTTATAGAAGATTCTACACATCAACAGCGGTCTAAGACGAACAACTCGCAACGCCTGTATCAAAAGCAAATCATATTTAAATAGTAGATGAAAGACATTTATGAAATTAGTAACTTACTCACCTCATATGTTCTTGCCAAAATCCATCTTGAAGTAGCCATTATCACCCCAGTCTCCACCCCATGTGTTGTTGAGCCAGTAGGCAATACCATTTTCAGCTCCATAGCCGACAGCAAGAACTGCATGGTTCACATCCTGGAAGGGGAAGAGTTTCATAAATATTATACTAAGATTTTCAATTTTCACATTAATTTATTGAATTGGATGAATGGTTTTCTAGCATTTTGAATTCTCAGCTTGAAATTGCAAATAGTTGGATGTCATTTTGTAACAACATAGTTGTTATATATATGAACAATTGGGTTATGCAAGAGTTGATTGATTTTAGATTATATTATTTTATATACCTTTTTACATGATATTATACTATACTATAATGCACCAGGGATCACCTTATGATTGTGAATTTTTATTTATCCAGATTGTATAAGAATGGCCCTTACATATATTTCAATAAAAGTGAAAGAGAAAATACAATGAGTTCAACTCGTTTGTATTAGTGAGTTGAATACGAGTTGTTCGCGAATAAAGAGTCGTTTTGAGAACCCTAGTCACTTACCCTTAGGATGTTAAGTGTAGGGGTAAGATTTAAATCTTATTATTTATATAAAAATATCATTTAAATATAACTTAATATATTTTTATTCTATTTTTTATTAATAATTTTAATTGTTTACAAATCTTTGTAGCATTGTAATCAATTAAGTTTACAAAGCTTTGTTCGAGTTCGGCTCGTTAACTTTGAATGAATCAAACACGAGCTTCGTAACAAGCGCTGTTCTGAACAACAAGTCATTTTGACAGCCCTAATTTGTAGTTTAGTTTACTAGACAACCATCAAGAGATTGGAAATATATTGCAAAACATAATGACATATTTTGCATTTAGAAATATCTTGTATTATGGTTTAAGCTCTACAGAAATCTTCTTATCACGTATGTAAATTATCTTAAAACATACCATTGGAGGCTTCCCCCAAGTGTCTCTCGTGTAATCTCCATTCATGTGGAACCGGAAACCAGTGACAAACTCGAATGCAACACTAACTGGACGAACCAGTCCAACTGCATGTTTTAGCTCCTCCTCAGACCCCTGTACATAACATAGATCGATCCAAAATGCAACTTATAGTCAGACATGTCTAACAAGTTAACAATTTTTTTACCTTATTTAAAGAAAAAGGAGTGGATATGTTGAAACTATATTACAACATAGCCCATAATTTAAATGTAATGCTATTTTTAATAAAATATTGCATGCATTTGCAAATCTATATTGTAACATTTGTAAAATATCGAATAGATAAATGACACTGAAACATGCAATGGACACTATTTCTATATGTCCGGATAACACAAACCATTACCCACACATGTAGAATAGCTGTTGTTTTTTTGTATGTTTAAGAAAAATGTTTGTTCACAGTTTAGCAATTTAACATTAACATTAACATCAACAAGGACAAAAAAAAAACCTAATGTTCAAATAAGGAAATATAATATTAGAAAAAGCGAAGTGATTTGTTCCTCCCCTACTCATTAAAAATTTCAAGTCTTTTTGTGATACCATTCTCAGAGAAGTATTAGGAAGATTTACATGCATACCTCTTAATCCTGAGCAAATATTACATCAGGACTCCTAAAATAGTTTGCGTTAGGAGTCCAATAGTGGGGCGCCAAGTGTCAAGCAGGCCCCACCGTAATGTTACATGCATACCTCTTAATCCTGAGCAAATATTACCAGGACTCCTAAAATAGTTTGCGTTAGGAGTCCAACAGTGGGGCGCCAAGTGTCAAGCGGGCCCCACCGTAATATACTGGTATTGTCCAGTGTAAAAAATGGTGGGGCACGTTTGACACGTGGCACCCTACCATTGGACTCTGAATGCATTCGGAGTCCTGATGTAATATTGTTTCCTTAATCCCTTTGTATTTACATATTTAACATATCTAAACTTCACTTTTTTTGCATATATGCTACCTTAGCTATCATAAAAATATGTATTTCACTTTTTAAAAGTAAAATAAGTGATATTTTGGGAATGATATGAAAGATTTTTGTGGTATAAATATATAAAGTAGAGTTTAGATGTTAAAACATGTAAATACAAAAGAATTGAGTGACATGAATGTAAATCTAGAAAAAAAAGGGAAAGGAAAAGAGGAGATCCCTTACCAACGTGTTGTTAACTGAATCAAGGATTTTGACGCCAACATTCTCCAGCTTGAAGCTGCATATACCATTGACACCTCGATAAGGATACTGTTAGACGTTAAAAATCTGTTATACATACATACATATTGTTGATTAAGTTTAATTACAGTTAACATCAAGTTAAATTTTGAACATTTCTACTCCTTCCTCAATACTACTCCCATCTTCTCATGTTTGAGCGATACAGTTGAGGCTAAGGCTAGTGGGACAGCAGATACGGGATCATACCATACAAAGACCTCCGACATTTCCATCTTCCTCCTCCCGCGACGCCTCAATTCGAATCTATACTCACTTCTCCGAGACACACACACACACATTCTGTCTCTCTTTGTCTGTGGGAACCAAAGCCGTAGCAATTAATTTTTCCTGTCATCCCGCACCCTGTAGAACATAACCCTAATCTTCCTGCTCCAAAACCCGCACGCATCTTCCTACCGCTCCAACCGCACACAACAGAGATCTCAGAAACTACTTGCTCCTTCCTTGCATCGAAACCCTTCGCCTCCAACCCGAAAGTATAATGTTCCTTCCTCTCTTTTTGTAGAGAACTCAATGCATTCCCGTCTCCGTTCCTGTAGTCAAGAGCTCCGCTCGCAGTTCAAATTCAGCCCCATGTTCTTATCGGAAGCCAGCCCTAGCCGAAACCTGTGCCTCTCCCTGCACTGACCCCCTCCTTTCCCCAATTATACTATATGTGTTATATATTATATGTCATATATTATACATTAAAAAAAATCAAAATATAATTTTACATTATCATTTTGTATTTGTTTTTACTTCGCCGATCACCATCATCAACGCAATCAATTTCGTCAATTTTCATCAAACAAGCAAATATATATGTAATATATACATGCCTTAAGAGCATATAAATGACATTTCAATAACATCATATTAAATTTAAATGACTTTTGCACATGCATCATTAAGAATTGCATACCTATACACAACTTGACACTAAAACACGAATCAAATAAATCATTTAGTTTAAATAGCACAATAAATTGTAAATTTAAAATTGTAAAAAAATAGTTTTTTGCATTAGTTCTACGACATTTGCATAGCAGTTATACTTATGCAACTTGATTTTCATAGTCAAGTTGTAAAAAATATATATTTTCTCTCTAATAAATAATAAATTATTATATCCTACATTTTATATAACCAGACATGCATGGTTTTGAGATTTTAGGTGGATTTAGCTGATAGCCCTATCCAGACAGGATTGTATGTCCAATAGATTCGGTTTTGTTTCAATCCTTTATGAGATTGCACTATAAGTCCCTTTTGATTGTATTCTTATTAGATTAAGTTTGACGTTTTACTTGTTTATTTAACTCACATTTAGTTTTAGGATTATGAGATTGGTCATGTTGTTATGATATAAGTTCTCACCTCTTAGTCTTTCCTATGATCGAATATTATCAGAATATAAGTCATAGCCTTTTCTAATATCATATCAATTCAAACAAATAAATCCTAAATTTCAAAATCAATAAGCATAATAATATGATATTAAATTGTTACTGAGTTTCTCAGTATCTAGTCACTTCCTAATTTTTCACTTTTGGATTCCGATAAGAACTATAAACATTAATCTTTCCTATTTGAATTTCCAAATGAGCAATTTGTGAAAACTAAACTTTAAAATATTTGAATACTTAACCCCAACCTTAATCAAAAATTTTCTTAAGATACTATGTTTCTACATGAATTTGCCCTTATATGAAGTTTATATCCATGATTAAACTAAAAAATTTTATAGCCTTTGGTTAGATAGGGGAGAAATAATTGGTTTGAATGTAGACCTACCAAATATTGAATGAAATTCCTTATTTGAGTAATCAAATTCATTATAAAGTAGTATTACTTTCTTTTGAGATAGTAGATTACTTTTAATGTTGTATTTGCTTATACAAATAAATTAAAATATTCAAAATATGTGTGGTAGGCACAATGTAAACTAATAATTAAATTCAAGATCGTCTTATCAATATGATAGAATTGGAAGTCCTAGCCAACTAAACTGATCCTCCACCTTCTCTTAAGGATCAAAGTCAACGAGTCTAATATTTTCAATAATGTCAAAAAAACAAGCATACAATTTTAAGTTTAGATTAAATTGTCTGGTCCTCCTCCTCATAAGGATTGGAAATTGCCAAAATTAATCTTTTATAAATATTTAAGTGTTAATTTTCAAATAAATTTCAAGCATAAATATTTCAAAGGGATAAACATTGATGATAGCGGTTTTGATAGAGAAGTTTAATTGGAAAGTTCTAAGTTTTAAATCAAATTTTCAAGGTAACCAATCAAAATGTTAAAGTTAAAATTAATCATTTAAAAGAATTAAATTAAATCTCATCCATCCTCCTCAGAAGCTTGTCGGGAGTATAAAACTTTTGGCTGATTTCAGCTCAAATAAAGTGATTGACACTTCAAGTCTATTAATTATTATATGTACATGTAAAGTAATCTCATGTCATTAAGGGCATGGCTTGAGTCCCTTATTTGCACGGCTTGGTTTAAAGGCTCCACAAAGAATAACGATTATCACTAGAGCCTTTTGTCCGAGTACTTACTGTCAAATGACACTATTATATTACGGTCATAATCACAACTTGTGTGTTCCCCAAAAAATTTTCACCCTTTGACTTGTTAACCATAGGGATCATTTGATTGGCATAAAATCATATAATAGCTAAGGTCAACTTTAATATTCACCTCGATCAAAACTAGACCTTCCCGCACCCTCTACCATAACCCTCGACTAGACCGTGACTCCATTTGGTCTAGCTCATAGCTATAACCAATTTCAATCTAAATTCAAGCAAGAGGAAGGCTCGTGGTGCTTAAGCGATTGTTTCCATCATCCCAAATTGAGGTTTCACCTCTTGGGACAAGGTATGAGTTCAAAACTCCTAGTTTAGGTCTCAGTTTGGTCTTTTATAAAGAGGATTAAAAATGCATGCCCACTTAATTGTATGAATGTTTGTGTAAGGACTAGATGATGTTATAGAAACAATCATAGAAGAGTTTCATTAACCCTAGCACATGATCTTAGGGTTTTAAAATGTGAGGTAGACAGATTAGGGCGTGCTTGGGATGATGACAGAGCACCATTATATCTCCATTGTTTGAACCATACAGTCGTGATCAAGCTAAAGCAGTGAATCACGCGGAGCAAAGCAGCAGATTGTGGGCCACTTCAGCACTCTCTTGTAAAGCGCGGCCAACAATGGGACGCTTTGTGGAGTTTCAATGGGTATAAGGATGATGGGGCGCCGTGTGGTTTAAGTAGGAAATTAGGATTTTAAACATAAAAAAATCATGTATTTGTAAGGATAAGGAAAAGTCACAAAAATAAAATGATTTTAAACATAAAAAAATCATGTATTTGTAAGGAAAAGTCACAAAAATAAAAAGAAAATACCCTAGCACTCAGCAAACAATAGAAATTAATAAAAATAAAAAAAGTAAAATAATTGATATATATATATATATATTAAATAATACATAAAATATTTTAATTATGAAAAATTAAAAATAAAACATAAGAATATGAAATTTTTAGAGATTATTCCCTCTCATCAAGAATGTTCCATGATTTTTCTAAAGTCAAAAGACTCTCTGACACCAAAATGTCTAATTTTCTATTAAAATTATAATTATTTTGAATAATAATAATAATAAATAAAATAAACAAAAATACAAATCAAATTTGAAATTAAAAAGAAAAATTAGGGCAGCGAGCCTAAACACCAAAATAATAATTTTCACCTCTGAAAATTTAAAATGAAATAAGAACATTGGGGGTAAATTAGTAAAATTACATTTTTTTGCGTTTTAGCCCAAATTGTCTCCTGAACTTAGTTAAACATAAGGATTAACTCACAAAATCTTAAGCTTGCATCCTAATGAAAACCTTAAATTAAATTATTAATTAAAATATGGTTATTCTCATAGTTATCCATTTAATTATGAAATTACCTTAATAACCAAATTTACAATTTAACTTAGGTCTAACCCAACTTAACTAAAATTTTAAACTTAACTTAGGTTTAATTCTAACTTAAACCTAACTCAACTAAACCCTAAACTTAATTTAGGTCTAATCCAGTTTAGACTTTACTCAATTTAAACTTAAACTCAACTTAGGTCTAGCCCAACTCAGACCTAACCCAACTTAACTCAAACTTCAAACTAAGTTTGGGTCTAACATAATTTGTACCAAACTAAGCTAAAACTTTAATCGTAAGATGAAATTATCTTAATAATTAAACCCTAAATTTAATTTTGGTCTAACCCAATTTAGACCAAACTTAATTTAAACTTTAAACGTAACTTAAGTCTAACCCAACTTGGACCTAATCCAAACTTAACTTAAAACCTACTCAAGTCTAACCCAGTCAGGGTTGACTTAACCAAATCCTTAACCTAAAGCTTAGTTTAAGTCTAACCTAACTTAGACTTGACTTAACTAAATTTATACTTAGTTTAAGTCTAACTGAACTTAGACATGACTTAACCAAAATTAAACTTAATCAATCATTGGTCGAACCTGGCTGACCAAAATAAAACTTAGACAAATTAGGGTCAACCAAACCTAAACTAGGCTAACCCAAAATCAAATTTAATCAAACCTGAATCAACCCAGCCTAACCTGGGCTAAACCAAATCAAATTTAATCAAACATGGGTCAACCCAGTCGAACCTAGGCTAACCCAAATCAAACTTAGACAAACTTGGGTCAACCTAGCTTAATATGGGCTAACCCAAAATCAAATTTAATCAAACCTCGGTCAACGCAACCTAACCAGGGCTAATCCAAATCAAATTTAATCAAACTTGAGTAAATGTAGCCTAACCTGGGCTAACCCTAATTAAACTTAGATAAACTTGGTTCAACCCAGCTTAACCTAGGCTAACCCAAATCAAACTTAATCAAACCAGGGTCAACCCAACCTTACATGGGCTAACCCAAATCAAACTTAAATAGACCTGGGTCAACCT